AACAGCCCCTGTTTTTATCTCTGGGAACAAGCATTTTTTTGTGAGCAGCAAAAGGCATTGCATCTCTGGAGTCAAATGAGGTCTGTTGTTCTCCACAGAAACTGGAATGCATCGCTGTGTCTGGTGGTTGCCTGAGTGCCCATGTTTGTTGGTTGGTTCTTTTTTTGTGATTTTCCTTTCTCCCACCTCCCAGTCTCAGAGAGGCTCAAGTAGGAAGGATGGTGACCTCATGGTGCAGTTATGCAATCTGTCGGAGGCCAGGTATCAAAATACGCTGCAGCTGTGAAGTCGGGACCTTACTGTGCTGAGGGCCTGGGCCTCCTGGCTCTAATGAGATCGCTGACCTTCTCCTGCCACTTACTCTGCAGCTGCTTTGACTCACAGACATTTGTTGTGGCAATGGCTTGCCTAGCAGTTTGGCACTGTGCTGCAGGAGAAGCTGCATCCCCAGGCAGGTGCTGAGATCTGGCTGCTGACACCTGCCAGCAGGTGAGGATGACCCCAGCCCCATCATGCTTTCGGTTCTGACAGAGCCTACCTGCCTTTCTCCAAGATTACACAAACATTTGCAACCTCGCCGACTTCTTTTCCACAAAGCCAAGAGGATGTGAAATAAAGCAGCACCTTCCCAGCAGGCTTTTTCAGATTTTCAGGGCTCAGCTGCAGCAAGCTCACATATGGAGGAATAAGAGAAAACAGCATGCCTACAGTGGGAGGCAAAGTTGGGCCTCCAGCTCCTGAAGCCTTGTTCAGACATTGCATTCTTTGCTCTAATTGCAGCACCGCATTCCTGCTTTGCTCCTCTGCTCCTGTGGCAATACTTTTCTTTCCCTCACCTCCTGCACCTTCAGGCTTTTATAGTCCCCTTCCCTTCCTACCTGCGCATTGGTTCTTTTCAAATGTCCTATGAACCAGTAAGAACAATAGAAAATGTGGTGATAGGCATGAAAACAGGGCCCTGCAAAACCGGCTGATGTGTGCCAAGTAGGAATGTAAGACAAGATGGGTTCTTTCCTGGAAATGGGATTTGCAGAGTGGAAATGTCACATCCATAATCACATCCATGTGGTGGAACTGCTGCTACCCACTACTGAAATAACAGAGCATCTGTTAAAAAATGTAGCCTTGGTTTTGCTTAAATCCTGCAGGTTGTGCTCATTTCAATAAATCCTGGACCCTTGTTTGAAAACATAAGGATGGCTGCTTTGATTCTGTAATTGAATTCAAAGCAAATGTGTGTTCAGCGTGGTTTCAGGGTCCTACTCTCGAGTCCTGTACAGTGCTCGTTGCTGTAAGCTTCGCCAGGGCACAGGGCAAGAACACTGGCTGGAGGTGCTGCTGTATGGATTTGTGTTGGGATGGGGAGGGAAAGGAGACCCCTCAGCAGAGGGAATACTCTCCAAATTAAGAATTCTTTAGAGGATCAGTCTGAAAAAAATTACAGTTAAGAACTGGAAAAAGGTCCCTGGAAACCTCTCCTTAATTCTAAGCAAGCTGCTTGCAGTTTTTGTCAGTCCCATGTCCTGACCTTCCACCACCAGACATTCTACTTTCAAGCATCCAAAGATGCTTGAGGAATTTCCGTAGTACAGAATGGGATTCTCCTTTTGCTGCTGCCCCATGCTTTGAAGAGCAAAGGCAATTTAGTGGAGAGGACAGCAATTTCAAGGCATTTCCACAAATTCTTATGCTGCCAAGTGAAAAAATAGATTAGATTTGCTGCTGCTGTATCTAGTTCATTCTAATGAAAGAAATTAAACCTTTCATGAAGAGGTGACCTGAAAACGCAAAATTAAGTAGAGTGCTAATTTTATAAAGCCTCTGATTAACTTTCTCTTCCAGTTGGAAAAAAAAAAATCTCAACCAACTTTGATCTCTGGATCAGTCAGCTAGCGAAGTAAATGTGGTCACTTAAACCAACAGACTGGAGTTTTGTATCTTACTCTTGGGATTGTCTTTCCTTAGATCCTGTATTTGATGAGCATCCAAAACGCTCAGACTGCTGTAACTTGGAAACACTGTGAGAGCAGAACTTGGGCCTTCTGCTGGGAACCACAAGAATTGTATTTCTGGTAGTTTGCAGCTATTTCCAGCCACGTCAGCAAGTAAAGGCTTGTCTACATTTTGCTTCCTCCCTTAAGCTCGAAGAAGGGAAAGGCCACTTCCCCTCTTTCCCTCTTTATTTCTTTTTTCTTTCTAAAGTCTGAAGTTCAGCATTTTCTTCCTGCTGTGCCAAAAGGTCAGGCTGCTTGGTATTACATCCCACGTGGGGGGCTCTGTTCAGTCACCCCAGTGAGTCCCAGTGATATTTAACTCAAAATGAACCTCCTGTGTTTGGAGGGGGAAGTAACCGAGATTCCTCACCTCCCTCTGCACGTTACAGGCAATTGCAGAGATTGGTGGATCCAGGGTTTTAAAGAGGTCCCTGGGGCAGAATAAAATGTGAAGGAGCTGGTGAAGTAGTGCTAAAGTGTTGCCAGCTCTTTGAAAGAAACACACATGTGCGTGCATGTGTGGACATAAGATGTATTTAATTTCGGAGGGTGAGGGATCCTAAATAAAGCTTGCTGGCTTTTCACTCCACTGATACACGGTGAGTTCAGATGGCTAAATTTAGTCACCCAGACTGAACAGTCTTGGATTCTAAGACCAATCCATCTCTGTCCAAAGCTAATTGCATATCTCTATGGTTGCTGTAGAGTCAGCTGGAGGCTGACAAGATAAGGCTTCTGTAGAAGGGCCATATGCTTCCTGGAGTCCTGTTTTGGCACCAAGTGGCCGCGGGGGATTGGCTTTTTGAAACAAAGCAAAAAATCTACCTGGAGGAGTTCTCTTTTTGCTATCTCCCCAGTACCCCAATAATCAGTGAAGTATCATTTATTTAGTGGATGCATTTTGCAAGAAAAGATGAAACATAAAAGGCTCTTTTGGTCATAAGCACAGGATCATAACCAAACATTCTGACTCAAGAGTGATGCCTAAGGTCTGCATAAACAGCTTCTATCCCCATCTTCTCTCATTACACTAATATTAAATCTTTCTAGTGCACCCTTTAAGCAAAGACCAAAAAGCCCTTTAACTTGGATAAGGAGATAATCACATCTGTTCCTGAAAACACTAATAAATGCAGCAGCTTTTAAACGTTCAGTCAGCTTGAGATGTAGCTGATTATTCCTTCTCTGGCATTTCTAAAGAGAAGTGGAAGTGACATTTTTAAGTCTGCCTAAAACTGGAAATACATGTGAGAAATGCACAGAAATCGAGGCGTGCATAATGCATGAATGAGGGAGAAGTAGGTTATGATCTTTGCACATCTTTTCCCTGCGTGCCTGCAGCTGGGTGTCTCTGTTAAGTACGGGTTTGGCCCCTGAGAATGTCTTGGAAATGGAGTGGCTCTGCTGTATGCCTCCAGCTTGCTCTGCTGAGGCTTTCACTCTGGCTCTGCATGCACAGTAAGACAGCTTGATATTCCTTGGGTGACTACGCTGTAAAAGAAAACAAACTACACTGGGCAGCACCCAAGGCAGAGAATCTGAGATTGTGCCGGCAGAGGAATGACAAACATCAAAACAGGATGTCCTCCTTTCTCTTCTTTGAAACAAACGCTTCAAAAGAAAAATGCCTTTGGGACTGTGCATGGGATACAGGCAGGACAGCAACCTCCAGGGTGCTGCAAACAGCAATTCCTCATGCCAGCATTAACATGAATGAAGGTCAGTACTGCAGTATCAGTACTGCATTCTTTGGGCTGCAGCAAAAGCTATGAACACAAATAGTCTGAGGGTTTCCCTAGCCAGCACATTCCATCACTTTGTCTCCTCTTCAACAGGGCTTCCATCTTTACAAGACAAACCACACACCATGACACCTCCTCTTACCAACTACATGCAACAGTACCCTCCCCACCTTCCCTCCAGCCTCCCATCTCATGCTAGAAGCAATCCATTTTTGGAGGCAGTCCAGACAAGCCTAAAAACTCAGCCCTGCCTGCTTCTAGTGACTGGGCGAGACCAACACCCACGACTCCTGAAGGCTCCTGTGGGCCACCTGCCATGTACATGGCCCCTGCTGCCTGGTGAACACCCAGCCTTTCCTCATACCTTATGATTTCCTATAGATAGTCACTGTATTTCACATCTCAGTACAATAGTAGTTCCCAATCCCACTCCTTTGTGTGCTTGGAAACTGCAACCCTTGCTGCCTTCCAAAAGCACCGTGCTTCTGAAGAGATCCCTTCTGAGCCCACAGAGTTTTGCTGTGCCTCTCATCAACACTCTCGAGGAGTTGTCTTATTAGCAGATTAAAAAAAAAAAAAGAAAAAATAAATAAATCTCCACCCTACTCATAATTGGCCTAATTGGTGTAAAAACTGTTGTTTATAAAAAACAAACAACAACCTATAATTTGCAAAGTCTAAAACGTGCCAAATTGTTTGCATGCCTCTGTCAAAAGCCTGTGAATATACCACTTGCTGTGGAAGGGAACATCTGCATCTAATTGATGAAATTCAGCCTGCAAAATGGATGATGTAAATGAACTAAGCAGTGTTGCCAGTCATTCAGTTCTGGATTAGAAATTTATCAGAAATCTTTTTTTCCCCACCCTCAGATCTAAGCTGCGTTTCCTGTCCCTTGGGTGTTTTTTCCCTGTTGTCTGAGCAAATCTTGAATGTTTTCAGTCTCATGGGCCATAGCAAATGAACGGTTGCCCTGCAGCCATGAGCTGTCAGATGTATTTCTGGATGCACACGTTGCACAATTCCCAATCCCCACCTGTGGGCATGGCTACCTGTTGGGTTTCAGCGAAATATTGCAGTGGCTGGCAGCCACATGGCTTGTGGGGAGCAAGAGGCCTTTGTGCCTGGACCTGAGGCTCCTGAGGTGCATGCAGAATCTGCACAGTATTTTGCCCCAAATGGTGACAGATTCAGGTGGAAGCGAAGCCAGGAAAGTGCACCTCACTTGAGAATAGGGCTGAGAAATGGATAGGAAGGCACTTACCCATTCAGTGTGAGAGCTGCTGAGCTGACGGCTGCTGCTTTTAGACATTAGCAGAGTTCTGGTAGGAGAGGTGGGGCTGCAAACACCTCCAACTGCCTTCTTGGTATCTGAAAAAAGAGAACCCAATCAGTCGGCATGTTCCTCCAAACAAAACCTCAGCCTCAGTGAGCGCTAACTGAGGAAGTTTGGGCCCACACAAAATCCTCCTACAGACAGCAGAGGTATCCTTCAGCAGCAGCAGTTCTGGTGCACGTTCTGCCTCCGAAACTGGATGCTTCTTTTAAATGGAAAGTTAGGTATTGCATGCTGCATCCTGTTACACCAGTATCTTGCTTATGAGTGAGCTCAAGAGACTGCCATGAAATGAAGACAATCTGCATGGACAGCCCAGGACAGAGGGACCACACAGGGAAACTCTGTGTCATAGAGTAACCCTCTCCCTAAGGGAAGAAGGGTTCAGTCACTGGGAACCAGCTCCTTGTCAACAGCATTTACAGAGTGACAACAAGTGCATCCATAATTCAGATGGAAAAGTGGAAGTTAGGATCTGTATCCTCCTAAACTGACAATGCTTTCCTCTGGATTTCTATCTGAATAAACTGATTTAGACTCGAATAATAATAACAACATATTACCTCCTGGAGAGAAGGGCACACAGTTTAGCCATTTTTGCATTGCTGCACAGCACCAATGATTAGACAGAAAACCTGAGCAGCTGTGCATGGTTTCTTTTTCACTTGAAACTTCAAGCCATGGTCCAGGTGTCTTAAATGAGAAACCTGCAGTTCATTCCCCTATAATTAGCTCAACCTGTGATTTAAGAGGCACTTTTAGAAATCAAAGATCGGATTTCAATCTGGAGCATAGAAAACAATTTCTACTTCACCACTGTTTTGGTCATTTCCTATTGCTGCCCTGCCACCCCCCCTGAAATCGCTCTGAATATGAAAAGCACCTGTTGGAAAACAAAGCTAATGCCTTGCAGAACACCCAGCCTTTTTTGTTTTGTTTTTATTTAGGGGCTTTTAATATTTGGGTTGTTGGTTTTTTTTCTTCTTTCCATTTCAACATGAGACGGGGAGGGACCGGGAGAAAAAAAAAAGAAATCTGGAGTATTTTGATCTTTGTGGCTTTATATGGACTTCATAAGCTTTGTTTGTTCTACTGCCAAGCTTTCTTTGTGTTTAAATAGATAACAGACTGAGACAATGAATCCAACAATAATAATAAAGAATAAAAACAACCCCCAAGCATTCCCTTTCTTTTCCAATTTATGATAGTAAACACGTGCTCCCAGACAAGGCTCATGACCTCAGCACTTGTGACTTATTTGTTCTCCTTTTCAAAAGCTGTTGCCCCAGGCACAGACAGGGCTCTGCACCCCGCACGTTTATGGAAAGCATCTTGAAAAAGGGCTCCGGGAGCTTACTTCTGGGAAAGGTTGTTGTGAATATGATGTGTGAAAACAGCCTCGCCTACCTTTAAAGAAGCGGAATGGTTGGCAGTGCACCCATTTCTTCCTTTTCGGGAGACTGTGAAGGCTATTTATAGAGAAAGAAGAAATGAATTTCAAACGGAACTGTCACTGTTATGCAAAATGCTTGCAGATTGCTGGCCTACCGGTGTGAGCGGGTATCTGCTGGCACTATTTCCAGAGCCTTTGCATTTCAAGAGAAAATGTACCCAATCAAAACCGCCTGTATTACTGAAGTAAATAAGTCCCAACCGTCTCTGAAACCAAGATAAGTTGTTTAGATGATTCATGGATAATCATCAGTGCGAGGGCCTTGTTGCACTTAAAAAAGTGTTTTGTAATGAAAATAACATAGAATTCAAGATGCTGTAGTGACACAGTTTTTCTTCAGCTTAAGGTTTTTATCACACTACAAGCTGTTTAGGATGACACATTTGTGCAGCAAAGAGTTGTGTGTCAACAACGAATGTATTCAGGATTCAGTAACCTGGGAACGTGCATCAGCCAAGAGCAGAAAGGGATGCTATTATAATTGAAATAGGGATAGGAAATGAACACTGTGTGAATTGCTCATCTGGATTATATTTCCTGAGAAGCTGTGTGCTCAGTATGCGCTCTCACAGTCTGAGACTGGTTGTCCGTATTAGAGATTAAGGCTCTGAATGTGCAAGCAGAAGATAGCCTCAGGAACTCGGAATTCATGAAGCCTGTAGAAGTCTACACCAGTCACTAAAGGGAAGGGGTAGGATCTTCCGTAGGTCCAGCATGCTGCGTCCTGTATGTTGTCTTTGGCAAGAAGTAAAGTGTATTTGTTTTATTTCCCAGGTCTATTATTCCTGTGGCGCGGTGGTGGAGTCAATGGAAAGAGGCCTGATTTTATCACCAGGGTTTCCAAACAACTACTACCCGGGGACACACTGCGTTTGGCAATTCTTCATTCCCATAAGAATGCATCTCATCTTGGAAATTTTTGACTTTGACATTTTTGAGAGCTCAAGTGAAACTCCAACCCCCTGGGATGGCTTTCCAGCTGCTGCGATAACAGGAAATAAGGATGTGACTCCTCCCGAGGAAAACCTGGACTTTGTTCTCCAGACTACAGAATCCTCTCTTCAGAGCTGGACGTCGAAGGCAGCTCAGAATCTGAGCGGTGCAGGAGATCAGTCAAAAGGACTTCCTGGCCACCTGGATGAACTTCCAGGAGCAGCCTCAAAGAAAGGTGAAGCCAAACAGACGTCCGAAGGAAACCAGTCAAAACAGATGAAGGAACCCAAAGCGATTACGGAGACTCCAACAGAAGAACAGCCATTACCTGATTCCGATGGCGCCAAAACACAGAGGCAAAATGTTAGCGGCCAAGAAACAAAAGAAGGTTGGAAAGGCAATATTTTGTTTGCCCACCTAGCTGCTAGTGAGAGAGATGAAAGTCTGGGAGAGAGCTGGACGCTTCCCACAACAATACTGCCAGTGGAAATCTCCAGCCAGCAGCCGGCAGTGGATGTCTGTCCCCACGACGTACTGTATGTTTCAGATCTCATCACGTTTTCCTCTCGTTTCTGTGGACCAAATTCACCTTTAAACAGGACCATGGTCTTTGGTTCGTCTCTGGAAATGGTTGAGGTTATCATGGAACTCATTACCACCACCAACCGGGGCAGAGGTTTCGCAATGCTCTTCGAGTACAAGAACATCACAGAACCCAACACCGTGGACGCTGTGAGGCAGGAGAGAATGGAAAACATACTGATGCTGGCAATTTTAACAGGGACTGTCTTCTTTGCACTTGCTTTGCTCTCTGCCCTCTGCATAGCTTGCAGGTAAGATGATGGATGTCTGAGCCTCTGAGGCATGTGATATTATCTGTACAGGACAGGAAAATCAGAAGACAAATGCACATTTTTTTTGCCCTGCTAATGCTTGCTGTCCTTTTGGTGCAGTAGTGCATGGATGTAGAGGAAACCAAAGCCAGTTTCTATTCCTGCCCTATGCCTACAGTTTTCTTTCACAGTTCTACAGCTCTGGTACCTCTTATTTACTTTTTTCTTTTATTCTTTTTTTCTTTCCTTTTTGTTCCCCTGCAGAAATACCTGAGGGGTGAGGTCTTTCTTGGTTCTTATTTGCTTTCAATACTTGTTTCTCAGTTTTGGGCCCATAGTGGCCAATGGACAAATGCAGGGTGGAGAGCACGTTTCCCCACATCTCCCAGGCAGGCCGAGCTGACAGTCCCTGCGTCTTCTCACTTCGAATCTAACCATCACTAATGCTCTGCAGAAAAATAAGTAACTTACAATACTGCCGCTTGGAATTAAGATGCAGTTACCTCGTGTTTCCCCATCTGAAGCAAGTTTTATCCAAGAGGTTGTAACAGATGTTTTAATTCTCATGCACTTGCAAGGTGAGCACGTACCTGCAGTGCCTGCTCCCTGCCTGGGAAAGTGCTGTGCTATCCTGCCTGTCCCCAGATGTCATCTGAAAGGACTGGGCCCAGGGGCTGACCTAACTAGCTGAACTGCTACAACCAGCCAGTGACAAAAGCATTCCTCTCCACTCAATTGCTTTTATTTGTTTTCTCCCAGTGTGTCTATCAGGAAAAAGCTTCTCCACACCCCAGCTTATGTTTGCTGTTTTCTTGGTAACTCTGGTGAAAACGTTTTTTTTCCTTCCAAATATTTTGACTGCACTGGGAGCATCAGAGAACTGAAACAAGCACCATTCCTTGCAGGGCTCTGATGGGGTGACTGGCTGTTTGTGATAGCACTTGTTTCTCAGTGGCACCATTCAACTGGTCTGTCCCCTCTTCCTGCATCCTCTGCCCTGTGCATCTTCCAACCCAGAAGGTCTCAGAGTGGCCCAGCAACTGCTCATAACTGAGGCTGGGTTGAGAAGGGAACATTGCTTTTTGTGTGATTTTGGATTTGCATTACTAGCTGTGCTGAATAAACACAAAATACAGGCCACTGCCATCCTCAGAATAAGAAAACATGAGTGAGCTGGGGGAGCCTAAACATAATCTTAATAATCTTAGAATCAAATAAACTCTTGCTGCATAAAGAAATTCCTGCTTTCAGAATCTGAGCTTTTCATAGTTGTAAGAGTTAATCTTACGTGTGCTACATCTGACTAACCTTCCTTTGTAAGGACCTTGCCAAACACTAATTTAGACTACATTTTTTTGCTGGTTCTAAAGGAAAACGTCTGGTGGAAAATGTCTTCCAGACACTAAATTATTTTTATACCCTTGCCAAATTTCAAAAGCAGCAGAAACACTCTGCTTTGCTATGGCAGCATCCTGGGCTGATGCACATGTTGAGTAGGCAGTTCTTGCCATTTAATTGCACTGCAGCTATCCACGAAGCTGCATGTTATTCAAACCAAAGCACACAGCAGTCTGAGCTTCCACTGCCTGAAAGGTGCCCCGTGCAGACTGCTCAGAAAGTCAGGCCACGCTGCTCACATGTACAATTTGCTTTTCTGCTTCTCAGATATTTGCAAAGCATGCAAAGCATGCTATTGTTGACCAGCATAGAAAACTGAATGCCTTTTTCACCCTGCACAAATGTCACGCAGTCTCATCACTGAGCACATCCTACCACAGTCACTGTGGCACAGCACCAGGGACAGGCTCGCTTCTGGTGACATCTGCATGGCTGCCCTTCCATTACCACTTCTATTTGGTAGGGAGATATATTAGATATTGACTGTATATAGAGGAGACTGTCCATAGACATAGACATCCATCACCTCCTGAGAGGAAGCCCTTTGCTAACCTGGCTGCCTGTGTTCTCTGTGGACTCTTCTAGGGAGGCCTCGATGACATTACACTTTTATTTCTTGCTTTAAAAAGCACGTGAGATCTGACATGTTTGGAAGCATCACACCATGCCATGTGCTGAGCAGCCTCACTGAGGCTGCACTGGAAAATGCTTTTTCCATCTTTCCTGCTCCAATACTTTGAGGATATTGCTCTCTGGCCCCAGCGCCGCTGGTGCTGGCTGGAGCTAACCTACAGTTTCCAACTGATTCTCCTGAAATGCAGCTCAGAATATGGCTGTGGAGGCCATTAAGCATATCTAAACAACTTTTAATTTGAGCCCAGCAAGCATTTTATGCTTCTTGCTCTAGATACTGGCTTGATATAACGTGTTGTGTGTGTTTTAGCCACAGCCCAACCTCACTGCTGAAAATGCCAGGACTGCACAGGGTGGGCTGTGGGGAGAAGCGAAGATGCTTTGATAACAGCACACTCAGAAATGGGACCAGCTCTCCGAGGTGTGACAATTCTTGTCCTGGCTGGAACATGCCACCGCAAAGGAGACCTCACCAGATGATGCTAAGAGTAAACTTCAAGCTCTTGGCCTTGTAAACGTGCCTCCCACTTTTTCCTCTGCTTTGCTTGTTCCTCTGGTACCACGTTGGCATTTAGCAGTGTTTTTTTTACCATTTCTATGTGATGCTCTTGCTCAGCTAAAAGTAGCAGGGAGCTATCTTTGCCAGGATTAGAAATGCCTTGGGCCAAGCTTGGCACCTGCTGCCACTCCAATGCACCAAGTCGTCAGCAGTGTCTGCTCAGGCTCATTGCATTCAGCCAGGGCAAAGCTCTCTGGGGAAACTCCAAGTCTCCACCACACTGCAGCTTTTGTTTGCTGTTTGGGGAGGAAATGAAAGCTTCAGTTGTTAGTTGGCCAATAATTCTAATTACTTTTGGCCATGAGGCCTGGCTCAAGCAATGGGGTATTTTTTATTTTCTTTCCCAAGCCCCAAGAACAAGAGACACGTCCACCTTATTTAATTTTAATCCCATCCAATGCAGCCAGACTTTTGCTTGATGGCTGCAACCTGTGGGTTGCAACTGCATTTTACATCTGCATTGCCTGCCACTGACCTGTTTCCAATTACAGCCCCTCTCTGCATACAGCTATTTCCTCAAGTCGTTGTGTTCCATTTCACTCCATACATGCCACCCTGCTATGCACGGCCTGCAGTGTGATCTTCTCCTTCCTCATTTAATGCTCTCCTAGAAGATTCTAGTCACTTCTGGGCTAAAAACAGAGGTTTTTCTCTGTCATCCTTATGGTAGGCAAAACCCAGAAGCCTCTACCTGCCTGTTTGTAGCTGGCCTCCATCTTCTGTTCATCTGGAGGTAGTTTAGTTAGAAACACAGATGGTTGGAGAGGGTAGGGGAGCACAGGGCAATTTTCACAAAGCTTTCAACAGATTTGAATATTTGCTTTACTTGGGAAGATTTAAGCAATTTTTGTTTTTAAATTGCACATTCTTTTGACTGATGGAAGCCAAATGATTTGTACACTGGGTGTTTCATGTGCAGGAGCTATGCTCTGATCTGAATCACTCCCCTCCGTGGTGGCCAGGCACTGCAGCATGCTGTGGAGACATAGTCCAGTTGGAGAGAGGGCTAAAGAAAGTCCAAAAGCCCAAGTCTCACAAACTAGAGCATCTCCCCAGACACCGTGGCAACAGTTCTGATTAGAAGGAATCAAATCTCAAGTTGCCATCAGAAATTTTTGGGGGAGTGAATCTGTATAACTTTAGCCTTTCTATGAGTTAGTTTCTGACAGGAAATCAAACTGTTCAGTGGAATCAATACCAAGCCACAATGAGGGAAGAAAAAGTTAAAAAGAGGACATTCCAACCCATTAACCTTTTCTATCCTCATTTAAACTGAGAGGTACAGGGCTCTCCTCTCTCCTATCTTCCTTGTACCTGCGCAGTATTTCCTTCTTCGCTTAATCTCAATTCTCCAATGAGGAAAGACCTCTTCTCCTTGGAAATCTCTCTGCTCCCTCTCCACAAACCCAAGGAAGAGCTTCCCCTGCTTCAGCCCAGCCAATGGGATCTTGCCTCCTATGGTAACAGCTATCCCTCTGCATCCCTTCTGAATTAAATGCTCAAGTGCAAACTTGCTCTCCTTTCTGTAGTCTCCTCCATATTCATTAGGAATAGTCTTGGAGACACATCAGGTTTTTTTTTCCTCTCTCAATTCAATTGAGAGTCAATAATCATTTGTTAAGTCTTCCAGTGATACAGTGAAAGAATGAAACCCACCACAACCAAGATGGAGCAGATGTCCCTGTCCCCTGGGCAGACTTACCGGGC